GGCGACGCCCCCGTGCGGAACGCCGCCGCCCCGCCCACCGCCGCCAGCGCCCCCGACCCCGGCCGCCCGCCGCCCCGGCCCGGGGACACCGCCGCCTCCTCGGCGTCCAGCTCGGCGGCGGCCTGCGGAAGCAACCTTGCGTCAGCGCGTCGTCTGCCTGCCCAAGAAAACATCACTAAACTAGTCAATCTCAGCGAACATTTTATTTCTAAATCGCGTTTCTGCTTTGGTTTGTTTGCAAGGGAAGTCTGCTCTTATGAAATGATTATGATGTAATTTTTAGGGTGGAATGGAGTTTACCCAGAATATACCGCGTTCGCCATGAAAAAGATTTTGAAGACAGATAGGATAAAAATTTCCTCGCCGCTATAGTAGGAAATATATTTTCATTTTTTATGTACATTTTTATTCAAATACACAAATTACGTAGTAAAATTAAGGTGTATTGTTGCTCATGTAAATCTTGTTTCTCAAGCATTATGAATTTGAAGAAAATTTGGTAGGAATTGTGAACCTAAAAGGAAAAAGAAGTTAGAAAATATTATTCTTCGAAATCTGGATACCTGGAATATTTTTCTCTACGCCAAAAATGCAATCTATTTCTCATAAAGACAAATTGAATGTAGTAGAAGTGATGTAAAAAACGTAGTGTTTGTTATTTCCTCGTTCGTACTATTGGTGCATTTGTGTGTTTTTGACAATTATATATTGTTCAAGAGATACTACAAGTGAATGTGTGTCTCAACATGAAAGTGTGTCTCAACATGGGACGCAAAGATTTTAGTTCTTTAGACTTTCTGATACAAAATAATATTATAATTGTAAACCCAACCTAAGGAATAATTTTTCATATTTCAGATAAATGAAAGAACTATGTAGCAATAATTTATTGTTTCAATATTATTTAATTTATAAACCTACAGGTGATATCTTTTACAGAGATTTCGAAGAAAAAATAAATTTTAATGTTAATTTTTTGTACTACATAACATTGAAAGTGAAAAATATCACATACCACATTTAGATACCCTTTCGAAGAGTGTACATCTCTGTATCATAAGTGTTAATAATAAGTCATATTTTTTCGGTGCAATAATCATCTATTATCCTTCAGACATGGTAAAACAGGAACAATGTGCTATCAGAGTGCTAATAAAGGGAACAATAATCCTCAATCCAACAGTATTACTCTGCAGGACATTTTATGTTTTACAACATTGAAATCTCTTTATTACTACTTCAGTTGAAATTTAACTAAAAATGTAAGTAGAATTTGTTTTGAATTGGGTCGAAATAATTTAGTTGAATGTACGTGCTACAATTAACACATTTTTGTAACATTATAATTACTGCAAAAAAGTGTGTAACCAGTATATGAGCATGTTACACGCAAGCTAATCAGAATAATAATGGTCATTTGACCAGAGACCTACACTAGCTAGAATGTAATTCAACACCTCCTGTTTCTTTCCCATTATTGCTATTCGTGCATATCTGCCATTGATCATATTATGCAAATGATCGTTGAATGCTGTAGATTATTGACCATTTTAGTTTCAAGAACTCTCTTCAATCGTTTCCTAACTTATAACATTTCGAATTACTTTTTCAGGTCATGGGTATGTGCGCTCATAAATAGCTGATCTGAATAAAAATGTAATAAACTACTAATTCAACATATACTGCTGGTTCTGTTGTTTTTTGATGTGTTTTCTTCATTAATTGTCTTCAAGGGTGATTGATGTTTTCCTCTTGATAATGTTTATTTTTTATAAATTTATTTCATTTCCAAACTACTAAATCATAGAAATGTTGTAAAGATGCGACACATTTTTTCAGCACATTTCTGAACTGCCAATTCTTCAAGGTATCTTTCGAAGACGTACTATTTTCTTGATTATTTTGAAAGGCTACATGGTTTTGAATGCAAAATAACTATCGATGTGTCTACCTCCATTGTCATATAATTCTTCAAAACTTCGTATCTACTTTGTATTGCCTTTTTGAAACTTAATCTAAAGGTAAAGTATTATGTGCCATCTTACTTTCTGCAGTTATTAACTAATGTTTCTCTTTGAACAAGATCAATTGTATCAACATTAGCAAATTCACTGCTTACTTAAAATATTTATTAAATTCATGAATTACAAAACAAATGTTCATAGAGATAGAAAAGTCTTCAATTCAGTGAAACATTCTATTCATGAAAATTCAGTCATTGAATACTTGAAAAGTAGGAGCATTTAGTATTTTGTTCTCCGCAGATTGCAGTCTTTGTTCCTCTAGTGATGTCATGATTTGGTATTTTTATTTTCAATATTAGGTTCTCCTTATTTAATGTCCGCTAGTTTTTGTTCTGAAGAGATTTCCCCACAATATCACATCTACAATAAAGGGAGAAAGTTATTTAAAAAAATACACTTTGTCTCTGAACTAAGAAACCTGTACAAAAGTTAGAGAAAATTCACTTCATTTAATCACGTTGTTCCATAAAGTATGAGAAGATGATTAGGCATAAAATATAGAGTACAATATCTCTTTTGTGTAACTACACCTACCTGTGACTTTGGGCGGACCTGTCCTGTTGAGACATACGTAGTCCTCAGTCGAACTATTTAGGTCGATGTCGTTCGTGAGCCCGTGAAGAACTGGTACATACCAAAGGTAGTATGTTCCAAAGTAGCTCTTTTGTCCGTCGATGCTTTAACTGACAGTAAAAGTAGCAGTATGCGTGTGGCTCTAGGTTGCAATCAGATGGCGTTGAGCGCAACAACTCAGAGGCCCGTGGCGACGTACTTAATCTACCATTCTCCCACAGCCTTGGTGTGGGTACAGATTCCCAAGCCTCTGTGGTACCAGCCCGAAACTAGACACGTATGTAACACGTTTTTTTGATTAACACATTCTTCTCCAGGCACGCAACCAACTGATAATAAAAGTGCTCACAATTCACAGGGAAATGACCAAACAAACACTAAGTACATCCCAAAAAGCCAAGAACAAAATTTTGACAACTATAAGCATTTCTAAGTAATCTTCATTCAGATCACACTATTCAGCCTGGCAATATCTTCGAATGAATCTGATGAAAATTTGGTCAATTAGGCTCCGTAAGGTTTATATTTTTTCTTCCTAGAGTGTTGAAAGGGAATATTTTAAAATTCCATAGTAATCAAAAGGAAAACAAAAAGGCAACCTCAGATTCAATAAATTAATCTTCAGATATGAATTATTCATACACACATTGTAAGCAATTCTATCTTCACATTTTGCCGAAATGGCGACCTGAACGTTTTGAATCTGGTTCTACCGTGTCCACTTACACAGGTATATAGAACTACTACTTAGTAAAATACCAAGGCGTATATGGAGGATCAAAGATGAATAACGACTGGGGTGAAATCTGAAGTAATATAATATAATAAAGTTACCTACGTGAACCATCGCGCTGCTGATTGTTGACACTAGGAGTTCGTGGACGTGGACTCTAGGAAAGCAACCAACCTGACCACTAACAATGAGAATGTTGGGTTTTTGGTTATTGTGCAACTTTCAAAGTGTCAGAACGGACATGTCCTTTATCACACATCCTTCAAACCTCGTGGTCGTCACTTCCAGATAGGTTTGGCAGTTAAAGTAGAACAATAATGACGAAAACTCAATATTGTCATTGCCACTAGGCAGACCTTTTTCAAAATCACTACAGTACTGGCAGCGAATAAGCGACTCTGACAGTTCTCTTTCCAAGTGGTGTGGTATGTCATGTGACCTGCTCTGAAGCGATCAGATTGCAGGTATTTGTTTTTCTTTCTCACAGCCAGGTTCAGCGTTGTCGCTCTTCCGACTCATAGAGTCGCTCGAAAAGCGGACACATACCTATCATAAGCAGTAATAGTGCAAATGAAATGTGGTTCTGCCGATGCGTGCAAGGCCAGTGGGTGTGAGACTTTCGAGCGCTTCAGTACATCGGTCCAAGGCTGTGCGTTTTGTGATTGCTACGTCCCACACATCGCGCAAACGCAGGCATAGTGTTAAAGAGCCAGAATGACTCGTGTATTTGTGTATTTTTTACGCGAATATTTCGAGGCAGAAAAGGCGACCGGCGGGACATTGTTAACTGTCGACAATGTTATGGGCGGCTACGCTGGTCGGTCTATAGGAATAGAGAATAAAGCCACCCGGAGCTGACGTCCCGAATTTTCAACGCGGGTTGGGAGGTTATATGGTTCTGCTGACATTGATTTTCGGTAGTGTTAAATGTTTTAAGATCTCATTTGATCGGTCTTGCATGTTGTGCTATCCATGTGTGTTATAATGTGTGGTAACAACGCATCGAACTGTCGGAGTCTCTTACCATACCCTGCCGGTACTATAGTGTCAATCAATGGTGCATGATGTGTTGCCTACCGGTCAGGGGCACTGTCAGAAATTCCTCATGTAAATTTATTGAATGATATTTCCCGCAAGGATACATTGGCAAAAAGTGAGTAAAAAAGTTATTAGCAAAATGTTTTCATCTTTGATCTCCTTATATGACCTAGAAGTCTGTAATATTTAATCTGAATCACTCTGTACTCCTTCAATGTTCAGCCGGAATATGACTTCCGTCCCAGGGAGCTGATGAATGCATCTGCACACACACTGCACCCGCTGTCTCTCACCGTGCGGAAGCCCGCCATGGTGCCGCCGACCCTCAAGAGGCCGCCGGGCGCCGCGAGCGGCTTGGAGCCCGGGGGCGGGCGCGAGGGCGGGGCCGCGGCCTCGGGCGACGGCGGGCAGTCTGTGGGCCTGACATCTGCGTCCTCTCCTGCTACCTGTTCCCCACACAGGCACGCCGTTGCGATTATCAGCTTCCGTCGCGGCACGAAACACAGTTATTGGCTCAAGCGGAAAGTTATTAGCGAGACCGCTGGACGACTTGTTGCAGCGGGTTATATAATCTCCCAAGAGTTTCTGAAGATTAATCAAGGATGGCTGCACGAAACAGAAGATAACTGACAAGCAGGGTATGCTTAAAGAGAGATAAAGAAGGGAAGAGAAGAACTAGAACGTGCTTAATAACACTCAATTCTGAATAGAAAGCAGACGGTTAAAATGCATTTCATTAGTAATACGTCACTGATTTATGTTTTAGACTAATTAGTAATGTTAGATATATAAAATTACACAAACTATATTTTAAAATAATAAATATTTGAAGTCGTTAGCAGAAAATGAAAACTTGAGAGAAGTGGAGGCGAGGAAGAATGTTTCGCAAAGGTCAATTATTATAACCCCGCGTAAACAGCAAGAATATTTACAAAAACCAACAAAAAACGACAATGGAAGCGACAACAGCAGCAACAATTACAACAACAACAAATACAACAAATATAAGTAATTGTAGTGCTCAAGGTATTGAAAAAGTATATCTTCCATACTGAAATATGTGTTCATAAAATATTTAATTACCGGCTTAAATAGCCCAGATAAGTAAAGCAATAACAGCTTCCTCCTAAGGATGTCAATGTACAAGCCGCAAAATGAAGTGATGTTTTCATTCCGTGATTGGGGCGTGGTAGTAAAATGCAAGCTCTACCTATTACATACAATCTTCTAAATCACAAAGTATATTTTCGTAGTTGCGCAGGGAAACAATCTATCGGTTGACAATACTGAAACTCAATCATCCCATTCAGTGTATATCACCTGAAATTAAATACTTTGCTGATAAAATAATTTTATATTGGGAGTTTATTAATATTTATCTGTCAAATAGCAAATTATACTGGATGTTATACCGTAATTATGACCGTTTCCTTTGCAACTCACCTGTCGTTCTCACCGGTTATCCTAACCGCTCGTCTTCCTTGTCCGACCCTACATTTGTCCTTACTAATCGCCCCTACTGCTCCCTTCCTAACGTCATTATACCAACATCTTACTTTGCCAACTGCAAAGCTGCTTTAGAATTTTTTGTTCAAAAATTATTTTTTATAAATTGATAATGCTTATTTTTCATCTTGTAATATTGCTTTGTTGTATTCATACAAATTTTAAACCTCGGCTCAAACGATGCTCGTATTGAAAACGCATACTTATGCAATAAAGAATAACATTGCATATTATTTCCTGACAACTGGGCTACTCATAGTGTTTAATTGTCCAGAAAACTAAAAAAATACCAGTTCGTTAGTTAAATTTTATATAAACGCCACTGCAATTAAGAATGTAAATATACAGGCGAAGCGAACATTGTGCTCGAGATGGAAGACTACTTTTTCGGAATACCCTGCGCGTGGGCGTGGCCCCACAGAGCGCACACGCGAGAGACGCCAGCACCTTCCGCTCGTAGAGCGCCCGCGCAGCGCTGACAGTCCTCAGGCCGAGCGCGAACTTGTTGGGCGGAGCGGCCGCTCTCCGGCCGCCGCCGCCGCCGAGCGACGGCGGCGCCTGCTGCGCTTGCTGCGCCTGCTGCGCGGCCCCCGACCAGGGCCCCGCACGGGCCGCTTCCGCGGCGCCCGCGCCCGCCGCCTGCTACCTCCCGCCACAAAAACCACACCACTGCGTTAATCCACCACAGCCACAAGCAAGTTGCGCAACGACGTTAGTAATGCAACGACGAAAGCAGGTTAAGTCGTCAAAGGGCTTCAGCTTTCTGCCGAACAAGTTTAAAATAAAAGGATAATCGAATCAGAATGTTTCTGAGTGAAAAGTGAATCTGAAACGTAATTGTGAAAATACGAATCTAGAAATGTTTGTTAGACGGTACAACGATCGGTGATGGTATACCGAGCGTCTTCGATTTTAAGAGGCATTTGCAGAGAAATTAGTGTTCTAAGATTGCATATCGCTTCTAATACAAAAGTATTTTCAACAATGGCGTCAATACAACAATAACAGGAACAACAACAACATTACAACTACATTAAATAAGCTCGTGAGACACTACGTAGTTTTGAGACAGTATGTACTGTACGTCTACTTCTGAGGGGATACAAGTATCATTTCTTTCCCAATCATACGGTTATATTGAATCTGCATCGAGAAGACAGCACATCACATTAAAATAAGCTGCAGAGGGAGAGAGAGCATAAGCCTAACTGTATTGTTAAGCGTCGAAGAGAAGGTGATTGCAAGCCTCGTGTTAGGTCGGAGGAGCGGCCTCACCGTGCGCAGGCCGGCCACTGCGTCGGCTGCGGCGCCCACTCTCCTGAGGCCGCCCGGCGCCGCCAGCGGCCTGTGCCCAGCGGGGGCGGGGGCGGCTGCATCGGGCGCCGCGGCGGGGCGGCCGGGCTGCGGCGAGCGGCCTCCTGGCGGCGCGGGGGCCGCCTCCTGGCCCGGGGGGGTGGGCGGACGAGGCTGCGCGCAGCCGGGCTGCTTTGCTTTCGGCGTTTCTGCCGCCTGTCCGAACCGTTGCATTAACACGAAGCCAATAAAACTAAACGGATGCCAAGGCTGAATAGCTTTTCTTTTTTCAATTGCTAAAACTCAACAGAGTGACTAGAGAACTATTCAGAGAAGAAAATATAAATGATCGAAAAAAGAGAGATCTAAACAAGAGCAATAAAGATTATATAAACACCACGCAATGTAAATGAAATTAGTAAAATGGGTTACAAAAAGGAAACTTTTCCAGTTTATAGATGAACCTTATTTATGATCTCTACATGACAACACCTTTAACAAAGACAATCTAAAACGTTGGAAGCAACAGCCATAAGCATCTTCATGAGATATTTAAAGGTTATTTCAAATGAAACTAATTAAAGAAATAAAAATTGCGACCCTAACCCAATTGCGTTTTAATGAATTTGTTAATGTGTGTGTATTTTTTATTTAACCGTTTTTATATCCCCAGCAATAATTATTATTGGCAATGGTTAGAAATGTCTTATTTTAAGTTCATTAATTTTCCTGTCTAATGTTTGGAAAATGGTTATGTGAATCAAAACATGGACCTGTAGCGGTTACAGTTCTGTAGCTGTTGGCACGAAACGTCAGATCTCGTTAAACTACCAATGGCAGCACAAAACCAAACTCAGCTATTCTCTTCTGCGACAACACCTCATAAGCAGAGCTCACCGCAGAGCAGCGCTGGTCTGTCGCGTTGCTGTTCGAGGCGCAGCCTGGGCCCATAACCCTTTTGGGACGATTGGAGCCCGGCTTCTTGTTGCCAGACTCTTGTCCCGTGGACGAACTCTGTCTGGACTCGACAGAGGCGACAGGGAGCTTGGAAGCTGGCTCGGTAGACTTCTCCGCCGCCACCTGTCTCCAGCATTGATCCAAATAGTGAGTTAGAAATATTTTCATGATGGTTATTAAATCCGGATTTAATGTAAGCGGAAAATTAGAAAAGCTGTGTACATTTCTTGAAAAGCACTTCCGTTCCAGTTACGGAAAGCTACATATAGCTTTCATGCACATATGTTCCCTGATATTACGTTAATTATTGATTGAAAAATGTACTGGATTACACACTCCACCGAGTGAATTATAAGAAATAATTTAAATAAAAATCATGTTAGTGTCAAATAATATTATGATAGAGCGTTAATTCCTAGGATGTCATTTGAGAGGTAAAAGAAAAGAAAATGCCACGACATCCATAATATGTAGCATACAAAAAGGATACGATATTACAGAACGGCTCAAGAAATATATCTAATGAAACAATAATTCTGTCTTGATAAATTATACGGGTAAATCGAAAATTAAATTTTAAAAATACTTTAAAGTAATTTTTTTAAAAGTAATGTACTGCCGTAAGATAAGTGTATTCTAAACTAGCAAGTACGCACATACATACACTATGTGATCAAAAGTATCCGAGCACGTCTAAAGTCGTGTTATGATGTGGTCGTGTTTTTCATGGAGAGGAACTCCTTATTGTTTTGTGTAGCACTATCACGGCACAGGCCTACGTTGATGTTTTAAACACCTTCTTGCCTCCCACTGTTGAAGAGCAATTTGCAGATGGCAATTGCATCTTTCAACACCATCGAGCACCTGTTCATTCTGCACGGCCTGTGGCGGAGTGGTTGCATGGAAATAACATCCCTTTAATGGACTGGTCTGTACAGAGTCCTGACATGAATGCCGTCGAACACATTTGGAATGTTTTGGAACGGCAACTTTGTGCCAGGCCTCACCGACAAACATCGATACCTCTCCTCAGCGTAGCCCTCCGTGAAGAATGTGCTGCCATCCCCCAAGAAACCTTCCAGCGTTGACGAGAGTGGACGTCGAGTAATATTGATACCTGACAATATCTCTATTTATTTATCAAAACCTTCCAGCACCTGATTGAAAGTATGCCTGCGAGAGTGGAAGCTGTCATCAATGCTAAGGGTGGACCAACACACAATAATTAATTCTATCATTACCGATGGAGAACACCTCAAAGTGGTAAGTCATTTTCAGCCCCGTGTCCGGATACTTTTGATCACGTAGTTTATTTTGGACAAATTCTCAATTCTTTTTACTTTTGTGATTGTACAAACTCAAATATGATTTTCTTATACCTACTCCTCTCGAGAGTTTTAGAGAAATGTTAAGTTATAGCATTCCTTCTTTTCATATTATCTTGTTTAATGTCGTAAAAGTATGCTTCTATTTATTATGTAAACATTCTTTTATTAATTACGAACTGTCTAGTGTTCTGTAGTTTTAAAAATTGCAAACTCACAGGTTATTATGTAATGTATAAAAGCATTGAGATATACGATTTCAGAGTTTTAGAAAACTAAGGCAGAATGACAATTCATTTATCTTTTGGTTGTTCATTAATTGGCAAAACAAATCTTTTAAGGAGTGCGAAGAATAGTTAGCTCGTAAGAAACTTTAAATCTCACGGTAAAATTATCATATTAATTTAAACTCACACCTGTCTTGTGAAAGCGGAGTTATTTTTATTAACAGCTTTTTCTTCTACGCACACAAGTTAGAATTTGAGTTACGGGGCTAGTGAATGGAGAGCACCTTTTGCTCGTACAGCGCCCGCGTGGCGCTCACGGTGCTGAGGCCCAGGGAGAACTTGCCCCCGACGCCTGGCTTCTTGGGGCCCTGGGGCGCCGGCGGCCCTTTGGGGTTGGAGGGCGGCCGCGCGGGCGACGCGTCCTTCGGCCCTTTGGGCGCGATCGAGGGCCCAGGGTTTGCCTTGGGCCTCGCAGGGTTCGACTCCTTGGACCTCGGGATCGGGTTTCTGGGCGCCGGGTCCGCGTTGCCGGGGGCCGGTCCCGGGTTCTTGGGCGTCGAAGCAGAGTTTTTGCTCCTGGACGTCGAGTTGTTGGACGCGGGGTTCGGGTTCGTCGACCCGGCCGCAGACGACGCTGGCGGTCTGGCGTCGGGCGACTTCTCATCTTCGCCCTCTTTCTGTCCCCCACACACATGTACACCACCGTGTCAGATCGTCATCCAAATGCTGGGTTGCGGCGTTCGGTTACTGGGGCTAGCAGGGTTATTACTACGTGTTGTGACGGTTACACATACGTGTGGTATTACAGTCTACGGAGCAAGAGACTTTGATTATGCCCGGGTGGTTTGTTCAACAACAATTGGTAGGTGAGAGCAACTACTGAATTAATTAAGATACATTCCCATACAATTTATATAATTAAAATGTACTAGGTGAAATAGAGCATAATGATACAAGAACAAAAGATATGAATGGATGATATACAATAGATCAGGGGTTCCCAAACTTTTTTACCGCGCCTCTTTCTGTCAAGAGGCAACTTTCCCGCGCACCCTTGCACATTTTTATTCGGTTTAGATCTCGTGGCATCATTGCTCAATACTTCATAGCAAATATCACACTAAGAATGTTCGACGTCACATTTAAACATGCAAATAAACCCATAATATAATTATCGTTATACTTGCGTTTTTTTGCTGAGCTAATTTTGAACGATTTCTTGTGACACGAATCACACAGTACAATCATACAACGCATTAAGGCAACTATGATAAGATTCAAACTTCCTAACGCGCCAAGTCCACGGTTACGTACGTCTCAATGGGTCCCGCGCCCCCTGGACTTGTCGCTGCGCCTCCCTTGGGTGGGGGGGCGCCCCCTACTTTGGAATCAATGCTGTAGATTGGTGGAAAATAGCCTTCGATATTGACAAAGATATTTCAATAAAGGACAGAGATAAAATGAAATAATGCTAAATAAGTAAAAACCAAAAAAAATTCAAATGAAAGTGACTTGACTTAAAAACTAATAGCATTTGAACAAAGGAGCATACTTGTCCCATCTGAAGACATTGATTAAAATATCGACCTAGTCTGTAAAAACTACTTTATTTGTAATATCCCCAATTATTATTAGAGTATAATAGTAAAGAACCTGAGAAATTGGCTGGCTCCATTTTAGGCATTGCTTTAAAATCTTGTAATGTCTTTAAGCTGTCAATTTTGTAATAAATGATTTCATTTTTTAATTAAAAATTCACAAGATCTATGTGTCATATCATGTATTTTATTAATTTTCTGAATAGCCTAAAATAATTACTTTCATAACATGAAAACATATATTTGCTATCAACTGACCTTACCAACTTTACAACTACGTTTTCCAGCAGACGATTTTCACAAGTCATGTTGTATTCTTATGAAACCTTTCGGCGATGTATACTCCGTACATACTGTTTTAAATATCGTATAACTACTTGTTATTAAGAGTTAATAATGTACCAAATGTGTAAAGTCATCAAGAAATCAGTAACAAAAACGAACCACAGAATCTATAGTTAATAACCAATAATACAGAGCAGATCACAAAGGGAGAAACTGAATCAACTGAAATGTTGTTAGACCTAAACATTTGCGAGTGGCGCTGGCAAGAATGTTTCCTGCAACTCTCACCCTGCGCAGGCCGGCCACGAAGATTCCTGCGTTGCCGACCCTCTTCAGGCCTCCTGGCGCCGCCAGCGGCTTGGAAGCCGGCGCGGGCCGCGCGGGCGCGGGCCGCGCGGGCGCGGGCGCGGGGGCGGGGGCCGCGGAGTTCTTCGCCTTCGCCTGGCCCTCCGTCGCCGCCTGCCCACACCGTCGTCCCACCACGCGTCACCAATTTTACGCAGTTTAATTTGCCGTTATTGAAGCAAGCGGAAAGTTAACTAGGCCGCTGGATGTCTGGTTTGCAGCGGATCGACAAATCTCGGAATGTCGGGAGATTTGAAGAAGAGAAGCGTGGGAGATATTAAGAGAAATTAAGTGCGAAGAGAGATAGAGAAGATTGACACTGAACAACAACAAATTTGAAAGTATAATATTAATAATATGAAATTACAAATTGCACATGGAGAGAGAAAGAACAGAGTTACAAGTATTGTTAGAGAAGGCATGCGGATTAAGACGACAATAAAAAGAAGTAAGAGGTTGTAGTAGTGAAAGAAGAAATAATTTGGCATTAACATATAGAATTTCGACAGGAAGAGTCAAGACATTGATAAAATCACAAATAGATTAGAAACATGACAAAAGTTAATTTACAAAAGGTAAGTACGATACACCTTGCCAATCAGCGACATCAACAACATAAAGGTATTTGCCGAACTATATTTTAGAACGAACTTGTGAGTCAATACCCAACGAAAACGGCTACTTCAAAATAAATATCAAAGAAAAATATTGGTAACCAATCTAGTGAACTTGATAATATAACTTCGTTACTTATCGTGGAATTTAGCGATTTTATGACACGAAAACCTAGTATTACGTACGCTTAAGTACTCACTATATTTCCCTGAAAGTTATTGCGATATCAGCAATACACGAGTACATTGAATCTGTCATAAAAGGAGTTCCCATTAGTTTACCTAGTCTTGGAAGCAGACATAAGATGTTTATAAAAGTACATTATATAGTTCAAACATTCTCCTAAA